TTTATTATATATTTTGATTTTTGCATGCATTTATATTTAACTATGTAAGTAAAATATAAAGATTATCTGAATAATGAATTTTTCAGGAACAAGATTTTTTTTGTCATCTATCTACATAAATATGAACAGCTTAGAGGTCAAGAACAGGTATATTTAGTAAAAGGATACCAAATGATATCAATATTATTTTTAAAACAATAAGCCTCTTGTGTTTTAAGAGAGAATCATGGGATGGGTGAACTTTTGGATATCAAAAATTAAGTCAATAGTGTAGCAAACTGAACCCATTGTCGGCCATTATCCCAGGTACTAGGGACACCAGAAACTGAGGGAACCTTGAGCCTGCCATAGAATTCCCCCCCCTCCACTCTGCTTAGAGACGGGTGGTTCTTCTGTGCACTTTTCCCAGGAGGTGTGAATGGAGTCCAGCATAAGGAGATGCTGGGTCCTTGGCTTCCTCTACAATTAGCAGCACAGGCAGTTGTAGGTATTGTCAGGAGCTGGAACCCAAACTCTCTGTAGCAACAAACTCCTGACTGAAACGGACCTTGGTCAGAATGCCTATTCAGTAATCCTTTCTTTTAGATAATCCAAAATCCTTCATGAATTAAATCAGGCCACCAGAAAGTTGCTCCTTACCATGTATTATCTCTTCGCTATAGAATTAATACCTTCAGGGTCATGGAAGAAATGCCTCTGATGAAATTCACTGTTGTGTTCCTTTAAAAGAGGAGATCATCCATTAAATTCACAGTAGCCACTTTAGGACCAGAGCTTTCTGTCAGGTGTAAGTATCAGGAATAGTGTGAATAAGTTATGTATCCTGCAGATTCTGTTGGTTTGATCCTTGGCGCACTGATTTGATTGGGTTTCCCTTCTAATAGTATCTGGTAGAAAACTTAGAGCTGGACTTGCATGTAGGAAGTAGATGCATTCTCTTTTATTTCTGATTGGTCTTTTCTTTCTTCCTCCCTCCCTCCCTCCCTCTGTCCTTCCCTCCTTCCCTCCTTCCCGCCCTCCTTCCCCCTGCCCCTCTTTCTTTCTGTCTCCCTCAGCTAGTTTCAGTGTTTTTATTTGGTTCTGTTGTGTTTGTGCTGTAAATAGATTTGAATTCTGTCTCAGGATAGAATAGGAAATAGGGAAATAAGGAAAGAAAGACTCTACATTATACAAGATACCTCCATGCAAAGAGAGTGGAGAAGAAATCTTCCTCCAGTTACCTGATGGTTCAGTATAGATAAGTGATTCATAGAAAAACAGTAATATAAAAGAGAACCAGTATTTTTTTTCTAGGAAATAATATGCCATAAGATGAATGAAGTTATTGTAAGACTGGTCAGAATCATGCAGTGCATTATAAATAAACTTAAGACATCAATTTAATTGGTTTCCTTGTCAAATCAAGAAGCACAAAATTTGTTCTTTCCGTTATGGAAAACTTGAGCCATGTTGAGCAGTTTCTATATATGATATAAAAGTGATTTTAATTTTGTAACCATTTGCATACTTTATTCATTTCTACCAATTTATATTTATATAGCTCAAACTTCTATTTGTAATTTTGGCTTATTTGTTACAAAGATTATTTTTCTCTGGTACTGGGGGTTGAATTCATTGGGGGGCTCTACCACTGAGCTACATCCCCACCCCTTTTCATTTTGTTATTTTTATTTTGAGAAAAGGGTCTCTCTCAGTTACCCAGCCTGGCCTTGTATATGTGCTACTTCTGGCTCAGCCTTTCTAGTACCTGGGTTTATAGCTTCATTGTGTTTTTCTTTTATATAACACCCAAACATTTCCAGAGCTGAAGTTACAGATTTTAAATTGCATTTTCCAGAAGAATTATTTTATTTTGTGTGTACTAAAATTAAAAAATGAAAAAGACCCCCAAAAGATATACACCCAGTTAAATCACAAGGGAACAAAAACATTTTTTGCTCAGGACTCTTAGAGTCTTTCTTGTTAGCCTGCACCAATATTTCATAAACAGGGACTTCATCCATATGATTCTGAATTATCTTGAGTGGATAGTGACTGAGGAAATGTTTCCTGGATTTCCTCACCTTCTGCAAAGTAGAGAAGCCACTTCATCAAACAAATGCCTGCGATGTACTACCAAATGTGATAGCCATGAACCTGAATTTCATGGCTGGTATTTGTCTTGAAGAAAAGAGATCAGCTGGTGTATGTGGCTACAAAGATTGAGGAAGGTCTTGCTTGCTGTTTAAAATTGATGATGAATGTTTTCTTTATGCAGTTATGCATAGAGAGGGTCCTTAAACTGAGCACCAGAATAACCATATCACAGTGAACAATTGAACTGAATGTGATAATACTGGCTTTTGCCCCCTCAAATAAAGTGATTACATTATTATGCATTCCCACACTTTGAGAGGGAAAGAACACTGTTCTGAAGCTTAAAATCTGACATGTGTAGCCAGGAAACAGCACAGTGCTATCAGCCTCTCAGATAAATATCATTTTTTTCTAAGACTTTTAAGCCAATGTTTGGAATCTGACAGAAGAATACAGGAGCTGGTTATATTCAAGCATGCCTCTGTATTATATTTCAGTGCAATCCTGGATTTATTATTTCTGTCAACTTTCTAATTCTTGTTTTTGGGTAATAGACCAAGAATAGGTTGTTAGAGAATGACACTTGCAGTTAGTGACATGAGACTCAGGCCTTTGCCTTCTGGTTATAGAAGCAGAATTCTTCCTAGTGACCCGCGCGTTGTGTGCATCTACAGTCTTTAAGCATTTCCAACCAGCCAAATTTTTCTATTATCAAAAATCAGTTAACTGCATGATTTACTCAGGCTGATCTCACTAGCTTAAATCTCCCAGTAAAATATATCCCTAAGAGGAATGAATTGTTAAATTAGCTGAAATTGCACTTTTGAGAAACTGAAACAGGTGTGATTTGAATGCACATTTTACTTAGGTTTTAATGCTTGAGAAAGAAACTCGAATAGCTTAAAAAGAGGATGTTCTCTTTGCAAATTTAACTTAACCACAGTTTTAGATTCTTGGGTTCAATGGTCTGTTTTGATGCAGTCATTTAATTAGGATGCTTCTGTGTTTGGGGTGTTGCCCTTTCTGTCTATGCAGGTTTAAGTCACTGTTTTACCCTCACTATGTAAGATCACCATATGCTTTAAATGCACTGAAGTGTCAAAAATCACTACTGAGGGCTGGGAATATATCTCAGTTGGAACAGTGCTTTTCTTGTCTGCACAAGGCCCTGGGTTCAATCCCCATCACTATCCAAAACAATACAAAAACCAAAAACAAACAACAACAAAGCACAACTGAAGATAGGCTAAAAAAATTCAGATTTGAAAAATGTAGTATTTTAACTGGGCTTATTTTATATTCTGATTTTATCAAAATATTTGAAGCATGAATAAATTCTGTCAACTCAAAAGGTTTACAAACTATGAGGAATAATTTGTAAGTAAAAAGTGAACTCTGTGTTCTCACCTTTTATACCCTTGAGACATACTACTAGGTAAGTTGAGGTGACCGAAACAGAATAGTGAATATTGCCAATCATTTCAGTCAATGTGACAGCTGTATTCCCACCTTACATTTCAGATGCTCTTGGTTATGATGGTCTGTTTTCAACCTTGTGGATTTTTTCCAATATTATTTATTTATTAATTAAGTTATTTATTTTAATTCAATTCATTTCATATTATACATATAGAGCACAATTTTTCAAGTCACTAGTTGTACACAAAGTATTTTCACATCATTCATGTCTTCATACATGTACTTAGGGTAATGATGTCCATCTCATTCCATCATTTTTCTTACCCCCATGCTTCCTCCCTCCCCTTTGCCCTATTTAGAGTTCATTTAATCCTTCCATCCCCCTCCCCACATTATGAATCAGCATCCTTAAATCAGAGAAAACATTAGGCATCTGGTTTTTTGAGATTGGCTAACTTCACTTAGCATTATATTCTCCAACTCCATTCATTTACCTGCAAATGCCATGATTTTATTCTCTTTCTATTGCTGAGTAAGATTCCATTGTGTGTAAAAGTTTCCCTATCCATCCATCTACTGAAGGGCATTTGGGTTGGTTCCACAATTTAGCTATTGTGAATTGTGCTGCTATAAACATTGATGTGGCTGTGTCCCTGTAGTATGTTGTTTTTATGACCTTTGGATATAAACCAAGAAGAGGGATAGCTGGATCAAATGATGGTTCCATTCCCAGCTTTCCATGGAATCTCCATACTGCTTTCCATATTGGCTGCACCAATTTGCAGTCCCACTAGCAATGTATGAGTATATCTTTCCCCTCCACATCCTTGTCAATACTTATTGTTGTTTGAATTTTTGATTTGCTGCTCTTCTAATAGGAGTGAGATGAAATCTTAGTTTTGATTTGTGTTTTTCTAATTGCTAGAGCTGTTGAACAGTTTTTCATATATTTGTTGATTGACTGTATATCCCCTTCTGAGAAGTGTCTGTTCAGTTCCTTGGCCCATTTATTGATTGTGGAGTTGTTTTTTTTTTTTTTTGGTGTTAAGGTTTTTCCAATATTTATTTTTAATAACTATTTTTTCTTTGACTTTATCTAAACACAGAAAATACTGAAAATTGTGTTTTCAGAACAATATTTTTAGATTGTTTAATTTCTATTTGTTCAGTGTCTCTTGTTGTCTAGGCCAGCAGTTCTCAAAGTGTGGTCTACCAGCCCATGGGGTCCACAAGACCATTTCTAGGGAAGGGAGGGTTGGCAAAGATAAAAAAAAATTTTCAAATAATTGAAATATCTAATCAGCAAGATATAAACTGTTATTAAATAATAGTGAGATGTATGGTCTTTTTTCTGTGTTGATATTTGCACTCCTAGAGCAAAATCACTGGTGGGTAAATTTGCTGGTACCTTAGCAGGAACCACAGCAGCGGCACCCACAGTACTCATTGTCTTGCTCACTACCATGCCCATGCGTGGCCAGCTTTAATTAAGGATTTACTTGGTGTTGTAGTAAATATTAATTGTATTAAATTTCAACACTTGAGTACATGTCTTTTTAATATTCTTTGTGATGAAATGAGGAGGACACATAAAACACTTCTGCTGCACACCAAAGTAGGCAAGGGGCTGTCTCCTGGCAAAACACTCCTTTGATATTTGGATTTGTGAATTGAATTAGTCACTTTTTCATAGAACATCATTTTTTACCTAAAAGAACAATTGAAAGGCAAGCTATAGTTATTCAGACTTAACTATTAGATATACAATTTATGGAAAGTGAACAGAATTACATCATTGCAAAGGATATAAAATCTATTTGTTGCCCATGAAAAAGAATGGACCTTCCAAATGAAAATTAGAATTTTGGAGAGGTTTTTTAATGCCATTGTGAGCTTTAGCTTTTTCAAGATGTGAAGAGCATGCTCAGGAGTTAGGTATGGTAATAGCATTTTTTTAAATACTACATAGTAAATACTCAATATTTGGAGCTGGGGCTCAGTGGTAGACTATGTGCCTAGCATGTGCAAGGAAGGCCCTGGTTTCAATCTCCAGCACAAAACAAAAAACAGAAAACAAATCAAACCACCCCCATATACAAACTGCTTATCTCAGTGAACTAATATTTTCAAAATGACTGATGCATTTTTAATTTAACAGTATGAACAGCTCATTGACATGATACCAGAGTCTAAACTGCAAATAACATTTAAAGAAATCACCACTAGCTGAGATCTAGTCCAGTATCAAAGAAAAAAAATCCATAATTCTCTGAAAAATATATGAAAATACCTCTCCTGTTTTCACCCACAGACCTGTTTGAGGCTGGAGATTTTCTCTAATTACTAGAACCAAAATATGTATACATATGTCAATATATTCAATGTGAATGCATGCATGTGTTGTGTGAATATGTGAATATATTTAATGTAGAAATTGATAAGCTAATCCATGTCATTTTTTATTAAGCCAGATAATTAAAGAGATTTGAAAAAATTTGAGGCAGCCATTCTTGTTACTAAATATTTCCTATGAAAGTTTTTTTTCATAAATATTTTCATTATTGCTATTTTTATGAATTAATACATACTTTTAAACTTTTTAAATTTTCATTTCCAAACTGGTAAATAGTGGTAGATAAAACCCACATAATCAAAAGTGCTTTGAGTTCCTTAACAATTTTTACACTAGAAATAGATCCCGAGAAGAAGAAATTGGGGGAATGACTGCTCTAGACAAATTTTATTTCTGTAGGTTATCCAGTTTAGATCATAGATCTTTCTGTACATGATGGAAGAAAGGTTTTGATGATGAGGCAAAAATCAGCCATGCAATGGAGCAGAGCTGTAGCTCAGTAGTAGAGGGTGTGCCCATTCAGTCCCAGTTACACATGTTCTGATATTCAGTTATGATTATTTCAAAGAGATTATCACACTTGACTTTCTACAAATGCAATTGTTTTGATGCAATAGGATTGGAAAAATAATTGCTGCATAGTTAACACACTTTAACATGACACAAGACTTCACTAACACTTAGTGAAACAAAGTTCTGACACCAAAGAAATATTTTGCTAATTTAGTACATTTTCAACCAAGTGATTAGTTTTGGCGGCCAAACTTTCATGAATAGTCAATATTTTTTATCATTCCTTATGTAAAATCCAAATTATTTTAATATAAAACCACTATTCACAATTTAATAGTCAAAATTCTTGAAGAAGTCATGAATAACAATTGATTTATTGCATATGAAAACTGACCATCCTGAAATAATTGACATTTTCTCCTTTATCAAGTACTTGAGCTTTTTGTAAAAATGGATAATCAAAACAATACTTGAATAAAAATAAATTCTGGTTACATCTTTTATGTTAAGATGGTGATTCTGATTCTCTATTTTCTATGTTGTTGTTATTGCTGTAGAAATAGTACAAAACATACATTTAAATTAAATTAATGTTCTAGGACTTAGACTATGTGTTTGGATCACAGGTGCTTTGGCTAACTGAGTGTTGGAGATATAAGTGTGTGTATATTACATAAGTATGTAATATATACATATTATACACACACATATCTATATATAGTTATACAGCCACATAGGTACATACACATATACACATGCACATAGAACCATACATGTATATTTAAACATACATCTTTATATGGATGTATGTATATATGTGTATATATGTATGTATGTGTATGTATACATTTATATATTTAACCCTTGCCTTCTGAAAGCTGAGCATTCAAGTTTTATTGAAAATTATATTTAAGAATAATATGACTCATCAAGAATAAAATGGACTTATCACTTAGACTGATAGTTACTATAGATCAGGTTTGACAAATTATTAAAGCAAATCCCTAGAAAATCTGAAGATAACTGAATGGTAATTTAGGATAATTCGAAACGTTTATTTTCCTTTTGGTACTGGAGATTTAACCTAGCAGTACTTTATCACTGAGCCACATCCCCAGAACCTCTCCCCCACCTTTTAGAAAACTTTGAGTCAGGCTGTCCCTAAGTTGCTTCGGGCCTCATTAAATTGCTAAGGCTGGTTTTGAACTTGGGATCCTTCTGCCTCAGCCTCCTCAGCTAAGCTTCTATTTCTTAAAGATCAAGAATGATTTCTCCTCGCCCATGACTAGACAAAAATTTTGAGGCAATTCAAGTTGCAAGGAAGCTCACTGAGAACCTGAGGTTATAGCTACATCATAGCATTAGGAAGGCGATCAGTAAAGGAGAGATCATGAACCTTATAAGAAAAATTTGGAAAACTATATGAAAGAGAATACACTTCTAAAGTATTTCATAGAGCTAAATCCTAATAAATGGTGTCACCCATTTTCTGTACTTGTCCATGCTTGTTGTTTACATTAGACCTGGTGCTCTTATGGTAGCCCAAGCACAAGCACAACATGGAAATTTGGTATAGAAAATGGGTAAAACACTTTGTATGCTTTTAAGCATTAGGCTTTCCCTGTTTCAAAGGCTGTCCTTAGGAAAACCTTGCTTTCCCACGAATGGATTTGTTGATCACTTAACTCCACTGTTCTTTATTTCTGGAATTCCTTCTAGCTTCTCCCTATCCTCTGAAGCCTCTCAGTAGCCTACAGTTGAAATACTACTCTTTTAAATCATATATCTGACAAAGTTAAACCAGTTAATATGTTTTCAGTTTTAGAAATTCTGTTTTGTGGATTTTTTTTAACTGAAGTAGGAAGTGAAATAGTTTGTCCAAAGTTCTATATTTTAGGGAGATTGTGAGCATTCTCTTTCTTTTATGGCATATGGTAATATGGAAAAGGCAGAATTAGTGGGTGATTTGTGGAAGACATGACTTGACTCTTCAAGTGAATGGAAATTTAGAATTCTGGAGCTATGTGGAGAGGAAGCATTGTGGATACTTACAGAAGCTTAGAAGAAGCTATCTAAGACCTTTAATGCAACGATAGCTAAAGACTCATACTCCATAACAAAGAAAAATACTTGATCTAAGAACCTGAATTTGACTGGAACTAGATCCAGAAGAGGTACTTAGTTAGGATTTTGTTAAGGTCAAATGGTATTGACCTTTAACTAGGAAATAAATTCTGAGCCCAAATCAAAGTATCTTGCTTTCTTGATGAACAGGGTATTAGGAGAAACACCCTGTTACTGACCTGCATTCTGTGTGTAAAGCAGACCATCAAGAAAGAGAATATTAACCAAGGATTTAATTATGAAATTTATACTGAAGGCAAGTCCAAGAATCAAATCTTATAAATATCAATTATAACATGTATGTTATATTTGTGATGGTTTGTAGTATAGGCAGATTTTAATTGTATTTGTGCAGATTGTTTTTCAGTGGGATCACTAAAAATTCATAAATTTTGAGGAAGCTAAAAGGGGACATCTAGGAACACAAATTCAAGTGTTTATTTCAATTCAATAAATAAACATTAATACCTTGCATTTGCCAACTACTTTGCTAAGGGTTGAATAAGAACATGAGTAAGAAATTTTAATTCAACTGAAATTATATGCCAGGAATGAGTCTTCAGAAATAGATGTTCTGCTCCTAGCTATCTTGAATCATTGAAGCAAATATTCACTTCTATGGGAAAATGGGGGTGAGTGGATTTCCTAAAAGGCTTTCCTCTCTTGAATCACTTCTTTAGGCACTACCTTTCTCTTTCAGGAACTTTAAGCAATGCTAACTTTCAAAAGTATTATGTTGTAATACATAGCCACTATCTTTCCTCTAATGATAGGAATGTGGTTATTACTGAATCCCAGGTATCATCTAACAGCTCCCAAAGATATTGTAGGTATTTAAAAGTCTGCTTATTCTTATCCTAGCTGGGTACTCTTTAAATAAAACCCTGTGCCTCAAAATTAGTACTAATGGTGGAAGACTAAATGATATTGGAAAGTCCTTAAAGATATCCATATCCTAATCACTGGAATCTATGGATATAATCTTACTTGACAAAAGGGGGCTGTGATTACCTTAAGGATTTTGAGATGGAAAGATTATTCTAGATTACATGGGTGGACCCTAAATATAATCACAAGTGTCCTCAGGAGAGAGAAGCTGAGACATTTGGTAACAGAAGCGAAGGGGCAACGGGTAATGGAAAGGCAGATGTGATGGGGGCCACCAGCCAGGGATATGATTTTTTTCCCCCAGGCTTCCAGATGGAACTAGTGATTTTAGTCCCATAGGATTTATTTCTGATTTCTGACCTTTGGGACTGGAAGTGAATACACTTGTATTGTTTCAAGCCAGAAGTTTTTGTTAATTGTTATAGGTGCATTAGCACACGAATACTATAATGTTCAATAACATGGCATTAGGCAGTGATAAAGATTTTATACTTTTTGCCTTCCAGTAATTTCCTAGTGAACAATTAGATGACATGAGCTTCTTCAACAGCTAACACCTGGCAAATTATTTGTTACAATCAGTTTTTACACTTCTGTCCTTTATTACACAGACTGCAGGGTTCTTGTGGCCCACAAATGGGTAACTCTGACCCACTGTAAATGAGTCATATGACCCCTATCATTCCATGTTGCAGAACCCAAAGGTGAGTTACTGCTATTATGCATACTAATCATTACAAATTGTCATATGACAATAGCTGTCCTCATTCAGTTTCAAAAAAGTAAATACTGTCAGGTTGATAGACTGTAAACCTACTGCATTCAGATGATGTATTTTTCAATCACTAAACTGTCTTTTAAATTGGAGACAAAGCTGGGGATTCCATAAGAATAAATTTTATTTTAGAACTTTTCTTCCAACTTCCTTTCTTAATTTTGACAAAAACTTGAAAAAACTTCTGGGATAGATATAACAGTGGAGAGAAAATTCGCTAGTTTTAGCATTAAAAAAAACATTGAAATTCCTACTTCTTTCGCTTGATAGTTATCCTTGATGAATCACATTCATCTTTGAAATAAAGAATTTGATGAAATGATCTTGAAAGTTCCCTTTAGATCCCACATTCTACAATTATGAGAAATGTTTATTATAGTGATATTGAATATATGGGAATGATAATATTTGCTACTAAAATATCAATTGGTTTAATATTTTCGCTTTCTTAAGTTATAATGTTTACTGTTTATGAAGATAGTCTTTTTTAAATTCTAAAATTAACCCATTTATGCTGCTATTTTATAATACATGACATTTGAATTTCAATTGACTTAGGTCATTTATGGAAATAAAGTATAAAATATCAAATTCACATTTAATGGCTAGTTTTGTATTACTATAGTTGGAAGGCAGACATTCACTGAGGAAATTCTGAAACTGTTGGCATTTCCATAGTTTTCTTAGACAAGAAGGAAAATATAATAGTAAGATCGCTCAGAACCTTAGAAGTCATGGAAATATAGTCGTCTACTTTGGGAAAGATACACAATATTAGGAAAAAACAGTGATAAAAAGCAATTGAAACAGTTATTGAATTACAGAAAATATATCTGCTTATTTGACATACTTGTAGGAAAGGGAAATAGACGAAGGCAATACTATTATCAGAAAGTAAATTTGTCTAGTATTTACAAAAGCTTCTCCAGAATTATTTGTTAGTTTAAAAGCAAACTCTCAGATAAGTGAGCATCACAAATCCAGTAGAAAAAAGTGTCCTACCTATGTTTATAAAGCCATAAGAGGCTCCAAATTACTTACTTGAAGAAGTAGCAATTTCTGTTGGCAGGATGCATGAAAAGTGTTAGCCTCATGGGAATCCATTTGTGACAACAGAGCAGAAAGCAGTCCCCTGCTCTGACAATAAAGAAAGTGACAGATAATATAGAAGTAATCAATCTGAAAGGTATAGAATATTTAAACCATGAAATGCCTAAAAAGCCATAAGCAAGATCTTTAAATCAATATAGGATGCTACTGCAATTCAGAGTAATGACTCAAGAATAAGAATATCACGTTGGTCCCAGAAAGGTTTTGCGTTAAGTCCAGAGCAAGGAGTTAAAATTGCTATGTCTGTATATTTAAAAAAAAAGACAACATTGTTGCATTGCTTTTATAAATGAGAAAAGGAATAGTGCTGATATTTTACAATATCAGAAGTGACTTCAATGACAATCATTTTCTAGCATTTTAATCTGCATTTAACATCCCAAACTATTTGATGAGAACAAAACCACTTTAGTCCATTAAAAGAGGAGGGTTATAGAAAGCATAGGACCTAATATGTTCTTTGGCCTGGGGAAATTTAACTGGTTTTTGTTAGTATTTTATTTAAAATATTCGTAGATGCAAAAAATGTGATTGCTTGGATCTAGGAAACTAAGAGGCAATAAATCACATTTTTTAAAATGTGTAGACTAGAAAGTCAAAGGCAAAAGTATTCCTTGATTCAATCTGGAAAATCAATCACAGAACTTAAACAGGTATCTGGGAGGAAAGAAATAATGCTACATTCTGGTGCTCTTTGGAACATCTTTTGATTCATCCAAGTACAATAAAATTGATCATGGTAAAAAGAGTAATTATAGATATGTTTAAGACCAAATAAGGTCTTATACATAATTATATTAGTGTTATTGATATGTAGACTTTCTGAATCCAATGTATAATGGATAGAATACTCCTAAGATACATACAGGGATAAGATAATCATAGTTTTTTTCTATAATTAGATCATATGAACTAAGGCTAGATGATTTTTTTTTTTTGCTACCAGGCTTTGCAGTTAGTGCAAGGAACTGGGAAATCATGTCCAGCTTCTTTCTTTCTTCAGTACATCTTTTAGAAAGGACCACAAACACCTGTAGTGGAAATCTTCTCCATCCTGCCTACAATGCCAGCTTTTATCTAAACCTTTCAATTCTAATTATACCACCTTGAACAATTCAGTACATTCTTTTTTTTGAGGGGGGGATAAGTGGGGGAGGGTATAGTAGGGGGCATAAATTATAGAGAAATAGAGGAAACAAGACTTATTAATAAAAAAAAAAACAGAAAAAAAGAGGAAACAAAGAACAACAACAAAAAATAACTGGCTACAATGCTCTGGAACAGTCCCGCAGCAGAAAAGCAGAATTAAAATCACAAACAGGGCAGTTGACACTACTACTTCTTTACATGCCTATTAATTTTGCTATCTGAGAGATTTTTTTTCCCTCTATGGATGATGTCTCCTCGTATATTTCAGATTGTTTAAAAGAATCAAGGTTTCCTAGATGAACAGCCATCATGAGCATGCTCTGTGTCCCTGATGGTAACCCTAAATGCTTGCTTTTTTTTTTTTTTAACCAAAGATTTCTCTTGAAACATTATGACCATTTTAAAATAAAACTTCCTTGTCTACAATAGAAATAGGCCCTGGTAAAATGCATTTTAAATGCCTCATTGTATGTACAACTAAGCATGAGTCATCACCTTTTCCAATCAGTTAAACACCATGAAATCCCTCCCAGTACTTGAAGAATTTCATGCTTCTGAATCCATTCCATATCTGGGTGGACTTGTCTGTGCTTCTGACCTTAATGCTCATGCTAGCTCTGTCCACTGGCTCCATCTCTTCATTTTTAATCCACAATAAAATCATCCGCTCCTCTGGCTCTTCTAAAAGAAGACAGTGATCAAGTATTTTCCACCAAGTGTTTGTTAGAAACTTGCTTGAGATATCTAATATTTCCAAGAACCAGTCAAAATCATACTATGTGTTTGTAACTTTATTCTTTTCTCTTATTTTTTTTTCATTTGAAACTAGACCACCAGAAGGTAATGCACCTGAAATTCTCTTGATTACTATCTACTTTCAATGTGATTGATTTCTACTCTTATTATTTCCTTCATGTTACTGATTTTGTGCTAAATTCCTCTTTGTTTTTCTTGAAGTGAAAATTTAGCTCAATGATTTTTACCTCTTTTTTTTTCTAATAAAAGTGTATAATGCTATGAAGTATAATCTAAGCATAGCTTTAGGTATATCATGCAAATTTTGATATTTCATCTGTTTTATTTTCATTCTAACCTAAATGTCGACATCCCTATTCAATATTAATGCATGGGATATTTAGAAATTGGTTGCTTAATCTAGAGACATTTGAGGCTTTTCTAGATATTTTGGTATCATTGGTTTAAAATCATATCTATGATGGTCAGAAAATATGCATTCTACAAATTCATCTGGTTTACTGAGGTTTATATTGTACTGTAATGCTGTAAGGGTTTGGATCTGAAATATCCCCCCAAGGCTCATGTATTGAAGGGTTGGTCCCCAATGAAGCAGTGATCAGAGGTGGGGCTCTTGGGAAGTGATTGGATCATGAGGACTCTGACCTCATTCGTGGATTGATCCCTTGATATATTAACAACTTGAAGGCATTATTGGGGGGTGGGGTAGAAACCACAGGAAATGGGGATTGGTTGGAGGAAGTAGGTCACAGAGGATGATCCCTGAGAATGTCCTCTGTTTCTTTTGCCAGTCTCTCTGCTTACTGTCTGCCCTGAGGTGAGCAGTTAGTTTTATTCTGCCATGCCCTTTTGCCATGAGGTACGGCCTCACCGTGGGGCTACAAAGGATGAAGCCATGGAGTTGAAACCTCTAAAACCATGAGCCAACATAAATCTGTCCTTCTTTAAGTTGTTTTTCTCAGGTATTTTGTTCCAGCAACAAAATGCTGATTAACACAAATGTATTCTCTATTTAGTTAGAAGTTCTTTGTACAATTGAAAAGGTTGTGTATTTCACAGTTGTTAGAAGTAGCATCCTATAGATCTCAGTGATGTTAAGGCATTGCTGTTAACTACAACTTCTCTAGATTTTGTGACTTTTTTGTCTAGTTATTCTATTAATTACAGACAGAGAAGCATTAAAATATCCAACTATGATTTTAGTTTACTCATTTTCCCCTTTGCTTCTTATATTTTTAAAGTTTTGTCATGTATTTTGAAGCTTTGTTAGAGATTCACACATATACCTAATCGATTGACCCTTATATCTTTATGAAATGTCCTTTATCACTAATAATACTCTTTGTCTTAATGTAGATTTTGTCTGATATTAATATGACAGTACTGATTTCTCCACGCTTATATCTGCATCCTTTTAGTTTGTCACTGTATCTTTATAGTCAAAGTTCGTCTCATATAGACAATATATATTTGCCTTAGTATTTAGTAAACTCTATTTTTATTGCGTATATACTTCTTTTACATTACTCATAGTTCCATATGTTTAATATTACCCTCTACTTAAAAGTTCCTATTTTTTAATTCATTACTTCCATCTTTTCTTTATTTCCCTGAATACAATATATTTATAACACCTGTTTTAAAGTTCTTCTCTGAGATTTCATCTTCCTAACCCCAGGTCATTTTGTCATCTGTTTCTATTGATTGACCTTTACCCTACACAGCTACTTTGACCCAAGATGAGAACAGGATGATGGCACTTTCACTCTTGCATATTTCAGCCTAAAAGTTTTAGACATCATCAAACACTGGCCAGAAACACATAGTTCACATTAAGGGGATTGTAAAATAGCCTATGTGGGTTTTGGGGAGAGAAAACCACACATAGAGTGAGCAGCAATTGTCAGTGTTGTACTGTTGACCCTTCTGGTTACAAAATGTTTCTTTGCTTCCTGTTGTGGCACGTCCCCAGGAAGACAAACTGAAGTTTCACCTCGTCACTAGCTCAAGTTCAAATTTCAAGGTTTCTGGACAGTATGCCGTGGTCTGTAGACTCGTAAGCTAAGAGCACAGGTTATGGCATTTCCTTGGCTTTAGACACTCAAGAGTTTAATGGTGAAATGGGCTAGAGTGAAATCAGCAAATGCATTCCAGAAAGAGAAGTCTAACTGTCCTTGGTCCATAGCAATTCTGAAATCTTAAAGTCTTACTAGGCCTGGGGGTAGATTAGTTTCTAGATAGGGCCTGATGTGCTCTCTGGAGGAATATCTTGCTCACTGTTCTTCCCGTTTCTAGAAGATTCTTCCGGTTTGGCCATGTCTGAAGTGGCTGTGGTGGAATGTGCCTTTATCAGAGCTGCACACTTAATCTTTAAGTCTTACCTGTGGAGAGTTGGAAGCCCAAGGACCCAGAAGGCTCAAGTAGTTCAAATAGATAACCACTCCATCCCCTAGAGGGATTCCCCCAAACCCAACAGACTTTCCTTGGTTTGTTTGTCAGGAGTCACACCAGTAGTTCCATCGGAGCCATTCTTAAGTCACCATCCTTTGTTTTCATAGGGCATACTCAGCTGTCACATTCCGGAGAGAACGTTTCTTTGGTTCCAGTTTTTCCCTGAGGCACTCTGGTTAGAGATGAGTTTTAAAATGTATCTGCAGACCACTCTCTAAATCTGATCTTTGTCCTCAAGGCTACATTTTGATGGACCTCTGTCTCCCAAGTGCGTTTTCAATTTTATCTCTTACTGTCAGGAGTCTTTGATTACATAATTTCCCCCAAATTAATGCTTTCATTCAGATATACTAAATATTCAATATTTAAGATAGTCTTCTCTGAATCACCTTTGTTGTCAGGCTTTGCCAGACACTGTTGGTAGCAACCAACCCATGCTCACTGCCTTCGGTTTTCCAAAATTTAGAGCTCTTTGCTCACAGGATTGGCATTAGGTGTTTTCACAGCAAAGAGCACAATTGAATATCCATATCTGATACAGCTGTTGATCTTTAGTAGGTGATCCTGATTTAAATCATCATCTTTTCAGCCTCCAGCAGACTACTCATCAAATACCACAAATTTTAAGTTTGTTGTTGTTGTTGTTGTTTTAGGTGTGTTTTCAAGAGCAGTTACCCACTTATCACATCAGTTTTTAGAATTACTCAGGATAAGTTAGGCTGCACTTCAGTAACAAATTTCCAAATCTCAGTAGCTCAAGTGTACTAATGAATATTTCTAGTTTACAGAAGTTCACTGGGTCTCTGCAATTCTACAGGGTTCGTCTTCCCCTATGTTCATCACCTACTCAACAGAACTAGTCTCTTAGCCCTTCCCAATTGCAATGGGCAAGGAGATAGGAGGCTTCCCATAGGTATTTGGTAAGCAGTCAGTGTCTCCCACAAGTGCTATTATAATTCTGAAAAATGTGCACAGTCAATATGGTGTTTTTTGATGGTCTAGGTAGATTCAAAGTGTACTGAACACATTAAATTATACTTAAAATTAAAAAGGACTATAATATTCTTGGCAAGAAGGCTATATTAATAAGGTATAAGTTAGGGAATTAGTGGAGATATTGCATACACATGAATGTTCCTGGAGCTCGGAAAATAGTGCTAGTTCAAACACTTTTTAAAATATACTTTTTTAAAATAGAAGGTGTTTGAGAATAAAAAAGGTGTTATATTAGTTTGGAAGAAATAGAAATTTTAGGAATGGAATCATGAAAAATCTTTGATCGGTAGAAAGGAACCAGAGGGTAGAGACTATGACACAAACTAATTTAAACTAGTTTTTAAAACAATTGGTCCAACCCTTTTAAAAATATTTCAAATCAAGAATCATATGTTTGGAAATCAAGTTTAAGATTATCAGATATAAAACTGGCCAATTTTGTATGATTTGATATGAAGTATTCCCGCCGAAAGCTCATGTGTTAGAAACCTCATATCCAATGTCACAATGTTCAGAGGTGAAGTGATTAGATTATGAAAGGAGTAACTTCACCAATAAAATTGTCTCAGAAGCACTTCTAAGTAGATACTTTCTATTGGGCTTTAATATAAGATCTTAGATTAATATCTTTGGAGGAAAGAATTCCCTGGTTAAAGAAATGTGTTTGAGGTTCCTGTCACTTGGTTCCAGGCTTTGTTCCCATGTTTAGGATCCTGGCTATAACTATAGGCAGGTAGAGCATGGCTGCAGGAAATAGGTCACTAGGGGCATGGCCTTGGGGACTATGTCTTATCTCTTCCCACCCCCCCATGTTCTGCCTCAGCTTGGCCCCAGAGCAATAGAACCTCTGAAACCAAAAGTCGAAATACACTTCCTCCTCTAAATTATTCTTGTGAAGTATTTTGGTCAGAGACAGTTAATCAAAGCTGACTAACACACTTGTCTATCAAAATAAGGAGTTATTTGAACACTAGGCTAAAGAGTATGGGGGCTACACAGAAATAAAATAATGGCGTACTCTGGCACACGGCTTTTGGTAGCAGAATGCTTTCACTCACATCCCGAATTTTCCCTCTTCCAGTAATGGTAACTCAAGATTTTTTTGTATTATACATAAAATAATAAACAGTGCCTGGTTCTTAAGTTCTCAGTAAATTATTAATAGCCTTTGAAAGAAGTTCATGTAAGAAGTAATAAGGGATAGTGGTCTTGGTGGTGGGCCAGCAGTCGGTTCTTGATGCTGTTATTCTAGGACAAGCGTTCGATTTTTGTTGTGCTCACATGCTTTTTCCCTGAGTCTTTTCATAACGTTTCTTTAGATATTGCTTTTACTCTGATGACTTTCTGTTATTTAGGCGATTTTAGACCTGATATGATTTTCCCCTAAACTATTTCAACAATTATTTCATCCCATCTTTTCCCCATTAGAAATTTGACAGCATAAGTAGAAGAAGGGCATAAGCAACTGAGATTATGGAGGGAATAAAGCATACAATTTGGTGGCTTTCATTATCATCACTTTGTTTTGCTTTTTCTGGACATACCAAGAGTGGAGTTGGAAAAGATAAAGTCATCTATTTAGTCCAGATACTTTTACTAACTCCATAAAATAATAATATCATTCTTGTTTTATAACTCCTGCCTATTAATCTACATGTGACCCATTAGAATGCCACTTAGTCCAATATTAAAATATTGTGCCATTTAAGGATAAATCTTGGAAAGAGCAGGCATGTAAAATAGGACAAATTTAAGGAAAGCAAAATAAAATCACAAATGACATCTAGTGAAAAAACCTTGAAAGGGAATTGTCTTTAATTAGTTCACAGTTGGAGATTGTTCATACTGCTTATTTTAGTTAAGTCTTTCATTTGAGGAGAAACAAGCTATTTAACTTTCAGGATGCTTGCGGGTAGTTGGGGAGCAGCTTGAATCTCCTGTCTTATTGAATAAACCTCTGTCCTCAATATAGTATAACTTTGGTGGGGAAAAATATTACCCACAAAATATGATAACCTATTGGATATTGTTACACTTTAGCAAGAACAATGAAAAAACAAAGGTAATTTGGTAAACTAATCTCATAGCTTGGATAATGTGTGTGGGTCATCAATACTTCTTTTAATCAATAAATTGTCTCAGAAGCACTTCTAAGTAGATACTTTCTATTGGGCTTTACTATAAGATCTTAGATTAATACTTTTGGAGGAAAGAATTCCCTGGTTAAAAAAATGTGTTTGAAGTTCCTGCCGTTTGGTTCCAGGCTTTGTTCCCATGTTTAGGATCCTGGGTTGCTCAGCTGTGCAGGACCTGAAGCTCCCAAGGGAGCAGGTCTGGCTACTGAGCACCAGGAAATGGTGCATCCAAGATGGTGGCCCAGAGGGAGGCAGCATTCTGTGTCACTCCATGACCTGAGACTCAAGAAGTGAGAATGCTTCTTTTCTGCCACTGTTATTCCTGCTTCCATACTGGAATCATGGCCACCGTGCCTTGCAGGGCTCCAGCCTTCAGTATCAGAGTAGGTCTCCCAACTACTGGGTGGCCAAGCAGGACCATTGGCATCAGCACCAGCGCAAAACTTTGGGCCACCCACCTGAGCAGAATTCCTGGACGCAGCTCTCACGCAGGACACCCTGCAGCAACTCATGCACAGGATCTCCAGCTGCCACTCCTGTGTGGACCCCATCAACTAACCTGGGGCTTCTCCAGTTGCCTCCTCTTGGAACTCTGCAGCAACGGAGATAGTCTCCTACAAGCCATAGCACCAGGGAACTGCACACAACCTCTGAAGACAGCCACAGCCACATGCTGCATGTCATAGACCCAGTCTCTGAACTTATTATCCAACACCATTGCCCAATTTCCCCCCACCCAACTTGACAACCCATTGCTGAAGTTAATGCCTCCATCTTGGGTCACTTTTAACACCATCTTTAGTCGGCACAACTCCCAGTTTGGAACTCTGGCTGGACAGGTATCCTGTTTCCAACTAGCCCCCTCTCCCCAGCAGTGCTAACCTGGCACAGTGAATGCTCAATAACAACAACAACAACAACAACAAAACAGCTCTCAGCAGGGCAGATGTAGAATGCACCCAAAGTTCCACACACAAGAGCCCCAGAGAGAAAGATCCCATATTAGGAAGCAGTAAGGGAGAGGTTGAGTGTGATATAATTAAGAGACTAACAGGAACTAGGAGGTCTTTAGATGAGATAAGGAGATAGGACCAGGTGCTCACATAATAGGAGCAGGCCCCAAAAGAGATCTTTGAGGTGCAGTCTCCCTTCAGGGACTGGTGGGTGCCACACCCCACTTCCAGGTGCCCTCTACCCAGGAACAACCCTCTATCCTTGGTTACCTTCACTATCCTGAGGGCAGAGATACCAGCTAACAACAGACAACCCCACCTATTGGATGAGAAGGGAAGCAGGAAAGATATTGATCTCCAACTAAACAATCCCTCTTTCTACATTTGAAATGTTTTTTCCCTCTCTATTCTCCTGTCCTCACATCCCCAACATATGTGAAACCATATGTGTACTTTGCATGAATTAGGATATTGAGATCTGAGACAACTGAATAGTATATTACAGTGATGTTGTGTAACCTTTTTTTGTTATTGTTCTCCAATTTTTACTATATTAACATTTTTAATATTTCTTAATATCTATGTTTTTATGTACTCTAGTATCTTCTCTCTTACTTGTCTACCCAAAATTACTTCCTCTCTATTCTCCTGCTACTAACCTTCTTCTTTAGATTTCTCTTTTACTCTTCCTAAGATATAATAACTCTATATCCTCACCTCCTACCTCCTCAGCATATCTTTCTACATCTCACCCCCGGTTGTTTGTCCACCATTATAAACTGTAAACCCTTTTACAAACCTACTGATTATATTGTAGATAATAATTGAGTTCACCATTTCTATATATTGTAACTAAACTGTAAATATTTATAAGCAACATATGGTTCTAGGTGGTATATTGTTTATATTGGGGTCTGTTAACATTATCCTTCCTCTCAAAGGAGAGGTATTGGAATCCTACAGGGGCACTATAAACCAATAGGGTAAAAATGGTAATGCCTTGGATCCA